CTACTGTCATTAACATCTTAATATTTACAATATACTTTCTAATTATCCAGCATTGACATCTAAAACTTTGCCAAAATTTGATTTTTTACATTTTTCTAAAATATATCTATTTATGGATACATGTTACTAAAAATAGGAGTAAAAGCCCACCGATATTTTTTCATGAGATGACACTACTAATTCTCAAGTATATAAACACACATAAGATTTGGAAATTTTCCACGGACAATTTTTCTTATTTAGCCTTAAAGATCTCAAAAAATGCTAAATTCCCCATTTTTCAAATTTTCAGAAACCATGTCAATTTGCATGACCTTTTTCTTAGATTGGGAATATTTCTAGAATAAATGATTATATGCCCTCTGTACCTTAAAAGTTCAAGTTACCATATGATCCAATGATTTTAGTTTGAGTGTAGTACATACCGATAAATATCCGTTTACATTTCCTTAATTTTCATGTTTTCATTTGGTCAAAAAGGGCCAAAAATGACCAAAATCAATGGATCCGTCTCCATGGCAACCAAGTGCACGTGTGGAACTTCCGACACCATATTTGCTAGTTTTGTACCAAGACACATCTGTGGTACAAATTTCATCAAAATTCGAGACATGTCGTTTCCAAGATTTTTTGGTGCTTACAAAGAATGCGTGTTAATATCTAAAGTTTACAATTATACGCATTAATTAAGGTGTATTTCAAGCATATTTTATTTTGCCTGGAAATGTGTATTGAGACAGGATCGTGCTTCACACTTGTGAATTCCATATCCAAATACAAGACATCAAATATTCTCTATTTATTACAAAAAGAAAAAAAACATTATTCTCTTTTTGAAATAAAATTATATGCTTGCAAAGTATACAAAATAAATATTGTGATGAGGCAAATAATTAACGACCTTGCTTCAATGTTGTATTTATAATATACACGTAGTATTGGCCTATTCGTGGATCAATCGTACAAGTAAAAAGATTATAAAAAGTGAACTGGCTACATGTATGTAAACTCTGGTTTGAGGTTTTGTCGCCATATGGTAAACATAGGATCCGTCAAATAGACGTGAATCTCAAATAGGTCTACGTGAATCTCCACACTCTTGGATCCCCCCCCCCCCCCCAAGCAAAAAATATAAACAGTGAATCATGGCAGAATATCAGATAAAATGTCAATATCAGCAGATCAGATCTAACGTCTCATTACTTAGAAGGATGTAATATTATTTTTGCTTCATCATTGTGGAAGGGGTGGGGGTGTCAACCAAGTAAAATATTTGACAAACAAAAAGATAAAAAGAGATATGATAATCCAACTACGAATATTTTTCATTATTTTCAGGATACTCGTATATTCACTCAGATAAAAAAAAAATATCTGGAGGAGGGGCACAAAGATTCTATTGCCCGCCCCCCTCTTCAAAAGTAGTAATGGGGGCAGTAGCCCCCTATTATTACGGCTATGATATAACTGCTGATGTCTCCCCATTTGAATGTTTCAATACCGCGATAGTTGTTCGTCAATTACTGTATATACTGTTTTTATACTAAATCATACATCGCCATACTGGGCGTTGTAAAATTATTAATTGAACCTGATTTCAAACCATGTACCCATTATATTTTGTTACTTTAAGAAAATTCAAATGAAGGGAACTCACCTTACCGTGAAATGTTTTGACATTGATAATTATTGGAAAAAAATCACTTACATATTGTAAGACATTTGGATATCCTAGGCAATCAATAATTAAACAAGCAGAATTTGAATATTTATCAATATCACAGGCACCTGACTTGTAGATACATGTAGTGTGTTTAACACCCGTCCCCTTAATTTAATTAAAAAAAATATCGTGCTGCCAATTTCATAATTAAAACTGACTTTACAGACCAATTTATAAGTGCGATTGAAGGGGAAATCATACATTTTGGAGAAATTAGATGTATAAATTTATTTTTTAAAAACAAACTATCCACACGTTAAGTGCCGGTGACCATCTGTTTGTAACATTTAAATACATTTATGTACTCGATTTTTGGGTTATAAATACGAGATGTACCAGTGAAGTTTTGAAAAAAATGCCAAATATTCGACAATCGTTCGAATAATGCAATTGAAAAAAGATTTTCAAAACATAATGCATTTTCAAAATATACATTGTATTTCATAGATCCCTGATTTAACATTAGAACCCCTGATCCTAGTGCTATGAAATTTACAATTTTGGAAGAGCTTCCCTTGCTTGTCATTACAATTCACTTATATTTTTTTTCTTTATTACGCCGGACCACAGAAGAGGAATTTCTAAGAATTAATGCATTTTCACTTTGTAACCTCTAGAACCCCACCTAACACCAGAACCCCCTCCCCAGGGGCGATGAAATTCCAAAATTAGGAAGAGACTTCCATGTTCATCGTAACTATATACATACATGTTTGTTTGCTTAATGCCAAGGAGCAGAGAAGATTTTCAAAAAAAAGAGTACATTTTCAATATATAATCAATAAAGCCCCCCCCATCCACCAGAACCCCAGACCCTGTGGCATCAAATTTCACAATTTTTGGAAGAGGCACCATTGCTCATCGTAACCATACACTTATTTTATCTGCTCAAAACCCAGGAACAGAGGAGATTTTTGAAGAATTTATGCATGTTCACTATATGATCATTAGAACTCCCCATCTCCAGAACTCCTAACCCTGGGCCATGAATTTTACAATTTTGGTAGAGGGTTCAATGCTTATTACAACCATGGCAACAGTTTAACTGCTTGAAGTTCAGGGGTAAAGAAGAAATTTTTAAAGACTACATTTATTTTGATGGTTTGTTTTACCCCCACCCCTCAGGCTCAAGTGGGGGGGGGGGGCAGGGTCCTTGAAATTTAAATTTAAATTTTTTCCCCTCCACTCATGTTCTATGACAAAATTGGTTGAAATTGGCTCAGCGGTTCTCGAGAAATTAAAAATGTTCAAATGTTATAGAACTAAGAGATAACAATCGGCCACCTGAGTCACCCAGGTGATCTAATATATAATTACGTGTATAATAAAATTAATACATTAAATAAATTACACCCACCCGCAAAAAAAAAATAACAAAAGCAAAAGACCGATTTCGTTGAAAAAGGGGGGGGGGCAAAGTTTCAATGATTGACAAACCACTTTTCTATAATAATAAGTTTTCATCGGTGTGGACGGACATGTTCTATATACCTTTTGCATAACTCTCGGTAGCGAAAAAAGCAGTCAGGTGCAACGAATGCGAAGGGTATACCCCAAAGCTGATATCGGAGATAGAAAAACTAATAAAGCGTGTGCCTATTTACGAGTGGTGCTCAGCTTTAAGTATATTTAATTCAATTATATACTATATAGTAGAGACGACGTTCACATTGTAAAGAGTTACTACCCTTTAGGGGTCAATCTGGGGTCAAGCAGCATCTCTGAAAAATGAATTTTTTTATGTATATCTTCATATGCATAAAAATGTATCTTTTATTTCCTCAAACTATGCTGATCCAAATAAATGTCAAAATATTTAAATTTGGAAGGTTCAGAATATTTACAGTTAATTACAAATGATATATATGTAGTGAGAAAAATGATAGTTGCGTCGACAAAGGGAGATAACTTTTGAGAATGTAGTCAGGTTGTCTTATGTTGAGAAACTACCGTACTCTTGTTCGAGGCGTATGGGCCGTGTAAAAAAAGGTACCCATTGTCTAATTCTGGGTGTCAAAAAGATATCTTGGTTTATATTAACAAGGCATAGCGATGTCATTAAAGCTGAACACGACTCGTAAATAGGCGTACGCCATTTTCGATATTATATCTACGATACATCAACACCAGGGTATACTCTTCGCATTCGTTACACCTGACTGCTTTATTGTCACGGGTATCGGCGTGGAATGGCGACCCGTGTTCGTGCTGGTTATCTTGCATTACCTTTGTTTACATTTTATTGTAGTTACGTGTATCTGTGTTTGTTTGTATACTGCACTGACCTGTAAAACTATAATTGTAAGTTTTTTTGTATCTTACTTTCCTGTATTAGACGAGGTATTACAGTTATTTTTGTCGCTACCAAGTGCTGTATAGCATACGTCCGTCTACACCGGTGTCGACTGATTACACTGAACAGTGTCCAAGTCATGCCCTTTATATAGGGGTCCTCAGATATAGCGAGAATCCGAACAAAAATGGCGGACACATTGCTTTTACGAATCATGTTCAGCTTTAATTTTTTTTTTTTAAATTCCACTAATCAGAGTGATGTACAGTAATTCAGTGCGTCTGGTACCAGTGCACTGTACATGAAGAGTCGACCAATGAATAATAGGAACTTTAAATTTACACCAAATCTGCTTCGTCACTTTCATCTTCTCTGAAGTTAGAAAAGAAGACCATTGTTGCAAAATTAAATCCCATTTCGTTGGGTTTTATTTGAATATGTAACTATATTAAATTTACGAAGTATAAATATATCTCTTTTTATTTCAAAGTAGAGGATATACGCCATGTAATTTTGAATTGGCAAACAGTAGTAGGTTCTTATTAAAGCGTGCGTTGAGACCTTTGTAAAATGTATACCTTTGTGCAAAATGGTACATGATGCATACAAATTTAGAAGATATCTCCCCGTCTAAGATCAGAAATGAAAACGTATATGCATGTAAAAAAATGAAATCTTCCAACCTCAAAGAGAAAAATAATACAACTTGAGATAATTCACAATATTGGAACACATTTTCACATACAATGGATAAAAAACTCAGAGATGGATATACACTGTAAATCTTGTTGCCTAATCGAAAATAACTTTAAAAAATTTAAACAACAGAGTGCAAAAGTTCCAAGTATTGATAGGCGGCTCGGAGAATCGCTCTCGGATTGGACGCTTTTCTCAGTCGCATACGGCGGTTAGTCGTGAATCAGGTATATACTGACGAAGTGTTCGATCCACTGAAGTGCAGAAAATCGGCATCATTCTAAAGAACTGCAAAGCCAATACAGAAAATCATTTTACGGAATTTGATTCTCTGAGAGGAAGAAAGAAAATATACTCCTCATTATACACCGAGTTTGCTGAGGAAAGGTCGATTTTTTTTTTATCTTCTTATGTGCTTTGATGACTGATTTTTTTTTCTGTCTCATTTAATTTTACAAGGATTTAACGACTGTATCGAAGGAGTATTTTCGAATGATATTTAACCGAACCTGTTGTACTATTTGTTAATTATTACTACCAATGGGAAAATATTCTGTTGCTCAAAAATGAAGGAAAATTCTGATGCAGACCACATTAAAGCGACTTAGTAACATTCATTAGATATCCCAAGAATATATATTAATTTCACAAATACCTGTTGGAATATGAACTTTTCGAGTGTTCTGGCATTAAATAGTACAAGCAGTATGATCGATTATAGGAACCTTTCCTCTTGGAATAATAGCTATGAGGAGATGACCACTTATTTTCAAAATGGAAGTTCAAACAATCGGCCTGTGCCAAAGTGGTCTCCTCCGCCTTTAACTACAACCGGTTATATTGTGATTCCCGTTTACATCTTGATATTCTGTGTCGCCGTGGTTGGGAATGTTCTTGTCATTTTAACCTTGATTCAGAACAAACGAATGCGTACAGTTACCAATGTCCTACTTCTGAATTTGGCCATAAGTGATTTACTGTTGGCCGTATTTTGCATGCCATTCACCGTTATCCCCATGCTATTGAAAAACTTTATTTTTGGCGAACCAGTTTGCATAATGATCAGGTATTTACAAGGTGAGTGAAACTAGATTTAGGTATATATTAATCTGTAATTGTTGTGCGTTCTTATCAAATTGCACTTTCAAAAATGTATCCATCATATTGTTTCATGTATTATTAACTTATACATGTACTTTTTGTGAATGACCTGTATACATGTATATATTCTACCTTTGCACCTACACTTCTGGAGAAAGAATTAAGTAACATACAGAAAGTTGTACATACCCTATTTATTTAAATTTGGGACTCGGAAAATTTTGAACTACTGCAATCGAGGCTATACGATCATGACTTTTTTCCAATAGCAGGGAATTAATAAAGTATATCATATTGAGGGAGATTGATACTCTACAACGATTTTTTCCCATAGCAAGGAAGTAATAAAATATATATCAAATGAAAATTGAATCAAGGAAAACGCGAACATTCAGGGATCATAGCTGAGACTGTTGCTCTATTAATATTAGATACTGAAAATTATTATTTCCTATATGAAATACTGTTTATAAAATATGACCCTATCAACAAATGTTTTTTTTTTTTCAAATTGCGTTCGCTGTGCATGTACATATAAACACAAATTTATTTCATTTAGTATAATGTGACAGTATTCAAAGGTTAACGAGGAGACTGTAAAAACATTTTAAATAGTGTAGTATATGTACTCCTTTCCCTGAATATATGAAAATCGGTTGGAACTAAGCCAACACCACCACCACCCTCCCCCCAAAAAAGAAGCGGGAAAAAAGACAAGGTCATTATTAAGTCATTAGTGATAGAAGAATGGACTTTTTTTCTTTCTTTTTCTTTCTTTTTTTTTTTTTTTTTTACAAAATTAATACAAATCCAGTCAAATATGATTGAATCCATTGAGAATGACAAAATTTGAAGAAAAAAAAATTTGTAATTGTAATCTAAATTATTTATAAAATAAACCTGTCTTTCAATTATAATAGTAAGAAATGGCTTCGTAGAAAATCTTTTCTGATGGGAAAAGGGGGAATACCCTTATCGAACCTCACATTTCTAAGCCCCCAGGAATGGCATACGTTTTCATATTGGAATTTCATGGTGATCTGCGATAAAACACCACACTCTCAGTCCGCCGTCATTAAATTCGCGTTATATGCATAATTTTATTAGACGGATCAAGTGAAAAAGATTGTGATTTATGGAAGTACTATAAAAAGCTCTGTATTTCAAGCCATCTGGCGACTGATTTTTAAAACAGACTTTCCCTGGTATTTTGATCATAACACTGTTGTTTTTATCGCGATGAAGGTGGCACGAATAGGGAAAACAGTTAACTTTCAGAAGATAAGTTCCTGATAGAAATCGCATGTGTTTTTTTTTTCATAATTTAATATTATATAATTATTGTAAACTTGCGTAATTATAATCCGTCTTAAAATGCACTTTCAAATTTGTGCTTAGCATTACCTTATGCTGAAATATTTTTTTCAACAGCATGTTCGAACGACTGCTCCGGTGCGAAAATATTTTACAAGTAAATATCGAAAGATATAATTACAGAAAAGGGACGCCAAAATATGTATCGCGAAAAAAAGTACAGCTAAATGTATTATCACACAACTTACGCAAAATGCATGGTTAATAGTCTCGTTTATTATCTGTATATACCGTTCAATAAAGGATGTGACAGATACCAGGCACTGTATAAAATGCGGAATTTTTTGTTGACGCCAGCTACTTGCATATCTAGTAGTTATTTTTCTAAAATTAGAAACGTACTATGGAATTGAGCCAATGCACTAAGGAACATCGTGGCAGTTCCTGGGACACAAAAGATTTTTAAGGTCAAAGCCATAGTCTGAACAACTGGGATTTTAAAATCACAGTCTTCCCTATAAAAAAAAATAATAAAGCGACTTCAAACCGCCGGTAGAAAGCAGCATCTTAAAACAGAGCACTTCACCAATTAACTATATACATTTACTTTTTGCATCGTTAATATTTTTCAACTTAAAAACACGTTCGAAGTCAAATATCTAGGCATCAATAAATGAGATATAGGATTGCTTTAAATACTGAGGTAGTTTCCCTTGCATTCAACTTTAGTGTTATTTTGTCATTGATCTTTTGTAATAAAACTGCATGTACATGTAGATATATCCCCTCCCTCTTTAAACAGTTGCTGCGTTTATAATCTGGTGTATTACGAGTTTAAACAGTGTTTAAGTTCACCAGAAATGCCCATTTTAACTTATAAAGAACATTTTAAACCTCTTTTTGCGTATTTGAATTAACCCCCTCCCATCCCCTTAGTTATGTTGTAAAATTCATACTGCAACCCGAAAACTTCAAAATTTACAACAAAACAGTAGATATGCTTTATGTAACAAAAATAGAAGTAATGTTTAATTCATGACAGAATCCTCACAACCATACAATTGTTGATATGAAGTAAACAAATCACTTATTCCCAGAATACTTTAAAAGCCAAGTGATTAATACTTTCTACGTTCCGATCACGAAAGAGGCTTCAAGAAATTAATTCTACACAGCGTTGCTGACTACAGGAAAAATTAGTCTTTCATAATTTGAGGGTTACTGTGTCTCTTCGGTGCTGTCGTTTGTTAGCTGAGAGTTTTCATGTTTTATGATCTGCACAATCAGCTTCAAGTAACAAAGCTTGTGCGTCGCTCAGAAAAAGTCCCTAGCTTGGCATTTGCCATTAACTAATTAGTATTATCGCAAAAGCGAGACTCGTAGGCTATTGTTGGACATATTCAAGTGCAAAAATTGACCCTCCTTTTCCTTGCGATTTCATTAGTGGTGAAGTCAACGGTAAAACCGAAATTAAAATGTTCTGACTAGTTTGATTTCCACTGCCTCGGAGAGACGATGATTGCAATCTGTTCCTTTGATTAAAGATATTCGTTGGGTAAAGAGAGCTTTTGGTTGATTTAACTAAAATAACCAAGTTAATATAGGAATGCTTTCAGGCACCGTAAAATATGAAATGGACTTGATATTTTTTGCGAGTTTTATTCTGACAAAATACTTAAAATGGAAACTCCTTCAGAAACACGGAAAAAAAATCGAATGAGTTCAAGAAAAAAATCAACAAAAGGCCAGGTTCAAACGATCTGAAGAGGTCAAAGTATTTTTTTAACAGGGCATTGAACGCAACAAACAACAATCTAATGAAAATTTACTATTAATAACTAGTACGAAATGGAAATACTAGTACAATGGCAAAATATATTCTTGGTTACAATTGGATTTATTAACAAATCGAAGGTACAATTTATTTCACTGCATGAAAGTTCCCTTGGAAGTTAGAAACTTCAAATGAATAAAAGACATATCTATGTTTAAAGAACTTCAAATACAATGTAGTCACTAACTGAATAAATTCTCTAAGAAGACAACACGCAAGGTATTTATCAGGATTTTAAAATGGAAAGGTATTTCTTATGAATTGAATTATATTATGCGAACAGAACTTTCAACAATTTTTTAAGATTTAAAATAAACATGAAAATGTTTAAATTAAATTGGTTCCAAAATTAACATTTCTTTCCCGTTTTTTAACTGCAAATTTACAAAATCCTAGATTTCATGGTAAAAGCTCAACTGTCCGTCGTCCATTTGTGACAGTGTGTCTGCAAAGATTTACCGTATATCTAAACCCTACTTCCCGCGCTACAGTTTTGTCCGATCTCAGTAAAACGACATATATAGCGAAAATAACCGAGATATTGCCACATATCTTGCATGTATATCGTCTTCTGATTTCGATGAATAGTGTTGCCAAAACTCCTGTAAAAAAAAAAAACTTGCCATTGTTTTTGTCTGATTCTAATAAAACTTGGTACAAAAGTAAACACTATATTCTGTTTATCGAGTTTTGATTTCATGAATGTAGTTGTGGTTAATGTTGTAGTTACGAAAAGTAAAAAAAAATCTATATTTCTTTCAAAACATTACTCCCTTTACTGTCTTGGTCTTTTAATAAATGTGGTAAGCAAGAAGACTGCAGTAAATTCTGTGTTATGGTTCTTGATGTCGACGGAGTTGCCCCCTTCTACCAAACAACTTGGTAAAATTTCAGAAAACATCAGAATGCATAATTCTGTAAACTGAAAATTAAACAATTTATTCAATTGCAGGGCAGGTGCAACTATTATTTTCCACCTTAATAAATACAAACAAGTAGAGGTACAATTCCCACTAAGATTTCTAATTTTTACCAAAGCTAGTTCCCCCAACTTTTGATAGACTGCCGATATATTGTATAATCTGAAACACACTTAGAACATAGTTACACAAAAAAGTTATCAAAAAATCACTCCTCAACTATTGTGATACCTTGCTTCTCTGTTTATGAGTGGGCAGCAGCTGCTGTATAAGAAATTGCAATCTTTCGATTATCGGAGGATTTAAACAAATTCAATAAGTATTATTGTTACTCTGGGACATATCCTAACTTTACAGAATCTATAATACTAAGAAGCCCGTTATTGGTTTTCTTTCAGAGTGCGAATAAAATTGCTCATCAAATATTTCTCGTACAGTTAATATTGCATTTCAGATGAAGAAATTACGTAGATCATGATTTGTTCTATGACAGTTTAGGTCTGTGATTGGAGAAGATTGGGTGCCGTTTTACGAATCCCTACAATAAAGGCAGTTTTGCTTCTATTGAATTTTGTAAGCCTTGTATTGTGTGCTTTATCCTTGAATAATAAAATTTCTTGGAAACGAGACGCAATAACATATCTGTTGAAGATTCTTTCCAATTAAGGCTTCCTTGGGCGCAGATGGAAAGAAAGGACACACGCTTTTTCATCAGATAAAAAAATTAAGTGAAAAAGCAGATAAAAATATGTTCAATTCATTGCCTCCAGTTGTATATTGTCTTCTTTAATCATAAACAAAAAAATATCAGTATGATTTAAGGTACATGTATTTGGAGTATGGAAAAAGCTGATGCGGATAGAAAGCACTCTAGCGATATACTGCATTAACGCTTTTCCACGATTGTTTTGGTGCAATAACCCCATTTTACATACTTGAACAGTACGCTTTTAATGTCTTCTTTGACTTTCTTTTGTAATGTGTTGTATCTAAACAAACTGCGATTTAAAATCTATCACATTTATTTAAAATTTCCTTTTAACTTAACCACATAATACAATGCCCTAGGTGACCGAGTTTTCTTTTATCTTAAGTATTCTTCATCTTTAAAAATCCCTTGGGATCATCCAAATTGTTTGAAAGATTTACTGAGGCGTATTAAAATTCCGGAAAATAAAGTACAGTTTGATAACTGCTGTGAAAGCGGTCGTTAAACACTGAGAAATCACTGATTGAAAATGAGGCTTTTGGTGTATGATTTACGCCATCCTAATACATTTATTATTTATTAAAGACTATAGTTCATATTATTTAGATCTGAAACATTATAAACTGATGTGATGAATAAAAATTACCTTTTTATACCGCTTTTCGATATAGTCACTGATACAAAAATAGCACAAGCTTCCTAGACATTAGACTTGAAATGATAGTAAAACCATTCTTAATTAAGGCTTGATTTTTTTTAATGAATCGGAATGGGTTCTTGATTTGGCAATTGTATTAAATTGCATCAAATGAACATATGTAACACAGAAAAAAGATTAAATAGCATCCAACTTACCAAAAGGTTGCAAGATGCATAATGAAGGGGAAAATGACGAAATATTAGCAGGACAATGCCTGTAGTGCTTTTTGGAGAAAAATGTGTTTTTGAAACACTGATGCTCCCGTATGGAAGCTCATGGCGAAGGTTTAAAGTTTCTCAGATACAAGTCAAACACAAAGGTCAAAGTCAAGAGATAAAAATGATGGCACCCAAAGAAAGACCTTGTCACAAGGAATACACTTGTGAAGTATGAAAGCCCTTGCAGCAACCAATTATTATGGTCAAATTATGGTCAATTGCAAGTTTAAACTTTTTCAAAAGTATGCCAAACTCTAAGGGCAAGGTCAAAACTGTTATTTCGTAAGAACAGATGTGAATAAAGAAAGCTCTAACATCAACCATTCAAAAGTTATGGCCAAGGTTAAAGTTTTTTTTTTCAAAAGTACGGCAAACTTGAAGGTCAAAAATGTTGAAACCCAAACAAAAGTTTTCTCACAAAGAATACACATGTGAAATATGAAAGCCTTAGCTCCTACCATCCTAAACTTATGGTCAAGATATTTTTTTAAAAGTAGTTCAAACGCCAAGGTAAAAAATATTTGTACCCAGAAAAAGGCCTTCTCATAAGGAATAAATAAGTGAAATATGAAAGCTATAGTTCCAATCATTAAAAACGTATGGCCAACCAAGGTTAATGTTTTTCAAAAGTAGGTTAAACTCAATGTCAAGACCAACATCTCAAGGAATATACATAAGAAGTATGAAAGCTTTAACACCAACCATTCAATAGTTATGTCCAAGGTTAAAGTTTGGTAAAATTTTGCAATAGTGAGTCAAACACCAAGGTCAAGAGATCAAATATGTTGGTACCCAAAGAAATTTTTTGTTAGAAGAAATATGAAAGCCCTAGAACCAATCAAAACTTACGGGCAAGGTTAAGGTTTTTTGCGGACAAACAGACAGACAGAGCTAAAATTATATTCCCCCGAATCCTCGATTACTGGGGCATAAAAAATGTATGATACGTAAGATGGAATTTCGCTTTGTAAAAAAAAAAAAACGATTATAAAAGGGTTTACTAAATTTTATACATTAATATATTTTGATATTTAAGAACCTACGAAGGATTCGATGTATATCAAAGATACAATGTATTGGGAAAATAGCCAACTCATTCAAATAAGTTATAAACTTTCATTAGAACGTTTAATATCTAAGATGTATCTTAAATCCCCCTCATAACCTAAATTAATTGAAAATTAATATAGAAACCTCTGCATTTAAAACCGAAAGAGCATACATTGACATTACATGTAAATTGTACTCTGCGTATGCCAACTTCTTTCCTTTAAATGTAAAAGGATGTAAATGCAAAATATACATTTTTCGACGGTCCCAATTTTAGGCACACAATATTATTCTTTTTGTGTAATAAATAGAAATTAAACTTTTTTGAATGCGTGGAATTGCAGCTCTCTGGTCGTCATTTTTTTCCGACCAATGAGCTTCAGATCAGCAGCTAACCTTTCCCTAGCCCCTGAAACCGTGGGTTGGACAAACTCTCTCATAGTCTTTCTCGATCTTTTCTGGAATATAAATTGAGTGGTTCTTACGAAGATTTTTAAAATGGAAACATCATTTTATTTGTATTTCTGAATGACCTCTCCTTAATAAGGGATGTGTTATTATACCCCACGCAACAAGTTGCGGGTGGTATAATGTTTCTGACCCGTCCGTTAGTCAGTCAGTCCGTCAGTTCTTTTTTTTTTTTTTGTCAGCGCAACTTCCCATATACCGCTGCACAGAATTTCGTCAACCTTTGCAGATATTAAGGACACTATGTGTAGATGTGCATATTACCAGGAAATTCCGATTCCTTTATTTTTCTGGGAATTTCGGCACTTTTCAACTTAGATTTTTGGCCATATCTTGAATATAGAGATGAACAGTTTGTCAGCGCAACTCCTCATAAACCGCTGCACAGAATTTGGTCAAACTTTGCAGATATTTAGGACACAATGTGTAGATGTGCATATTACCAGGAAATTCCGATTCCTTTATTTTTCTGGGAATTTCGGCACTTTTCATCTTAGATTTTTGGCCATATCTTGAATTAGTCCGAAATATCTGACGTTTTCCAGGCTTTTTTTCACGATTTTGATATTTTACGTGCCATGAAAACGTCAGAACCGGCGCCATTACAAAAACGGGAAATTCGCCGCCTCCAACTGGAGGCGGCATTCTCGGGTTGATTTTCGATACTTGCGAACCGAATTAAATGCTGAATTCACAACTTATCAATAATGCAATGCCTTTAGTACTCACCAGCATCGTTTATATGGGTTTGTTATGAAAATTAATGTACAATCTTGTGAAAACATTTTATCAGACGGTCGAGTTCTCTTTACATTTCGTCCATTTTAAAATCTTGCAAGGCCAAATCGAAATGTAGAGTGATATTTTCTTTTCATCGATATTGGTGAGTACTAGAAGCATTGTGCTACTGATAAATTGTAAATTCGGCATTTAATTCAGTTCGGAAGTATCGAAAATCAGCCCCGGTCGGAGACGGTGAAATTTCCAGTTTTCGTAATGGCGCCGGTTCTGACGTTTTCCTGGCACGTAAAATATCAAAATCGTGAAAAAAGCCTGGAAAACGTCAGATATTTCGGACTAATCTTGAATGTAGAGATGAACAGTATGTCAGCGCAACTCCTCTTAAACCGCTGCGCAGAATTTGGTCAAACTTTGCAGATATTTAGTACACAGTGTGTAGATGTGCATCTTACCAGGAAATTCCGATTCCATTTTTTCCCCCTATTATTGAAGAAACTTTCCAGCTAGGTAATAAGGAAATCCACTCGAATCAGCTTTTGTAATGAAATTTATGTTAAATATTTTATAAAAAGACTCACCCCCCCCCTTTCAAATTGGTGCTTTGCCTTAAATAATTTCATAAGTACAGTATATAAACAAATTCATATGACAACATCATAATTTTGTTTCCATCAATTATTTAAATGTGTAAATTGTCATGTGTTGGACATGACTTACACTCATTAACAAATCGAAATCACTGAGGAATTTAAATAACAGTTTGTTAGCATAACTCCTGCACTGAATTTCCTGAAACTTTGTAGGTATTTCAGACATAATGTATAGATTTGTATATTACCAAGAAATTTTTATTCCATTATTTATCTAGAAACTTCAGCCCAATTTAATTTGTAACATACAAAGATTTGGATGTCCTTATATGCAAGAAGTTTTGATGTGATGATTTTTTGCAGGTAATGCCCCTTTTTGAATTATACTGTGTATTTAAAATGCACCGTGCCATTCATTACGTGTTGCATTGTCGAGTTTTGGGGAGCGTGGGGTATGTAAGCTTGCTCACTTTTTCTTTCATTCCACTTATCCCCCCCTAATAAAAAAAGATTTGAAATTGCCCTTGTGGTTCTAGAGAAATTAAAAATGTGAAAAGTTCTATATACAGACATGTACACTGAGCAATCGCCTATCAGAACCTCGGGCTCAGGTTAGCTTAAAAGAGGAACGATATAAAACCTGCCTGTAATTCTAACCGATAAATGTTAAATTAATATATAATTGTTTTTATATATTTTGTAGGGGTGTCTATTGCGGTGAGCTGCTTCACGTTAGTTGCCTTGTCACTGGAGCGCTATTTCGCCATTTGTAGACCACTCAAGTCGCGATCATGGCAGACTCTCTCACACTCCTACAAAACAATTATTGTATGTTGGATCTTAGCTCTTGGTGTCATAATGCCAGTCCCTATTTACATAAAATATAGAGAGTACCCTCAACACGGTGCAGCTACTTGCCGGGAAGAATGGCCAGACCATGATCAGGAGATAGCATACAGCATAATATTGCCAATCCTGCTGTTGGCGATTCCGTTGATCATCATGAGCCTTGCCTATGGAATGATCAGCATTACTCTATGGTCAGGCATCAAACTTGATGAAAAGAGTGAAAAAGGTAAATGTCCAAATTTATAAATACTACAGTTTTATCATACTTATGGCATTTTGTATGATTATAATTGTTCGTCTAATTGCCACATTTGTGCATGCCTCACAATCATTCACACTTCATTGCAGAGGTCAGGAATGGAGCAGCCAAAACAGTTGATGAGGAGACATCTTCTTTTCTGCGGACAGACGATACTTCCTCATCAAATGGTACCCCTATATTTGCCACCAAGATATTTAAAACCCGTGACACTTTGCGCCCCAATGGGAAATCGTGTCGAATAAAGTTGGGTGGTGGTATTCGGCAGACAAACGGAGATAAAAGTAGGGCATCGAAAAAGCGGGTTATTAAGATGTTATTTGCCCTAGTCTTTGAGTTTTTCCTATGTTTAACACCATTTTACATTATTCATACGTGGATGATAGTTCACCCACGTAGTGCCTATAAACACCTTACTGCAGAATTTGTTATGTTCATAAATCTACTGGCATATGTGTCAACGTGTTGTAATCCTGTGACGTATTGTTTCATGAACAGGAATTTCAGGCAGGGGTTCGTGTCTGTTTTCCGATGTATTTACAAGAAGCGAAAGAAAAGCGATACGTCATTCTACGTCAATGGCGGATCCACCATGTCAAGAACGCACTTGAGTCGAGTTCCTTCTTATGACAAAATGCAACAGGAAATGGGCGACATGTAAAACGTTATTACACAGTGGGTGTTTAAAAAAAAACTTTTGATTGAAGAGCAGTCGATATGGATGAAAAAGAACAAATAAATACTTGAATTTATCTTGAGCTGAGGTATATCTTTTTCGAAAACGAATTTCCTGTCCTGAAACCATTCACAAGCATTTCTTACTGAACAGCATTTCAAGAAGTGTATGAGTCAAGACCATTAGCATCAATGTTATATATATATACATATAAAACGTTTTCTGTTGTAACATACAGGCATTTTACACATTTCGTTTGAATCATTGTTTAAATCTTGATCCAGTGATTGGAGCCATCTTGAACATAAAGGAAACAGTTTTACTTATACATGTATATTTATTTAAGGTATTCAATATATAATGAAGGATATTGAACAATTTTGAATCATTTTAAACTACTGAAATATGTATTCCTAGATCGACATTTCTGCCCGAATACATTGGTCAGGCCTGATTATAAAACTAGTTTAGTAATAACCCATCTTGTATAATTTTCGACCCCACCTTATCCCCTATACCAGGCTTTAGTATGTGGTTAAATAATAACTGATCTGGTATATCAATAATTTTTGACAATCTAAAACCCCTCCTTTTTCCCTAAAAGATGCTCTACTATTTTTATATATTAATCAATTCATGTTTACCAAAATCTATTAAATAATGTTATTGCATCTTTAAGCAAAGGTATGTGGTTGTTTCTGAAATGAGCCAATTTTCTTGAAATTCATCATTCTGAATAAATATCAAAAACACATCACGAGGGGAAAATTAAAACATCGAACTCTGGTAAAGGACAGTGATACTTGTTGTTAAAGGAGTAAAATTAATAAAATATATCTGAAATCCAAATCATATACAGTGGCGCTTCATTTATCCGGACACCTCCGTCCCCAACAAAATCGTCCGGATAAATGAATCGTCCAGATAATTGAATCATCTGTTAAAAATCCCTCTCCAAGCATGTATATATGCACATACTGGTATCAGATGTGAAGACAAAGGGAAAAAACTTAATATTTTGGTTTATTGTTTTTATATTATAGTTTTAAAAGAAGTAATTAATTAATTAATTAAAGAAAAATATATTAAAATGTTATTTACACGATAGAAGAAATGGAAAGGCAATTTTATGCCGAGACCTCCCTTTTTAACACAGGGAAATTTTTTTTCGCCTTCTCTTTGGCATGTGACTTCATGGGCTGAGCAAATTTTGATCTACAAGTTTTATTTCACCGTATTTTATAATTATTGAAGCTCATTAAGTATGACAGCATCATCGTTGAAAATGTTCAAATATAAACTAACCCCGTATCTTCATTACACGGGACTATTATAGTAACTGAACACTGAAAGGTGACTCAGACACGTGCATTCAATGAAAGCATTGTAAACATTCAACATAAACATAAGCCATTTTCATGTCAGATTATCAATATTTTTTCTACAGACTCTAAGTTTAAATTTCGATTTAAAAAAAATGCATTGAAAAACGTAATAAACTTCTATACCCAACGCCAGTTTTCTATTTCTTTTCTAAAATTACGTGCGTTTATAGGCGGACTATTACATTAAATAGAAAGGCATTCTTCAATAATGTACCTTTTTAAACTGCCCTGTGAAAAAAAAAAGCGTTTCAAATACATTTTCGTTTTTATAGAAATGAAAAACCGTATTTTAAACTAATGCAGTCAACATGATCAAGGTCATAACAAAATCGCTCGTTTTACTGTTCATTTTTATTTATAACTCTCCAAAATTCTCATAAATTTACAGATGTATATAAGGTTAGCAATTTGATTTTGAACGGTTTCTTATTTAATTAATGCACAATGTAAGCTTAATTCTTCGAGCTTCATAATAGACGTCTATTTTATTAAGGTAAACACACGCTAATTTTAGACGCTATTTGTAGGTCACAGGTAACCACCTTGAAACTGACTGCATGGCCAACGTTTTTTACAAAAATTAACACTACTGCAAGATAAGTGTGAAAATGTCGTTTCTTGAAAAATTACCGTCCGGATAAACGAGTCATTTTTCAATGAACTACTACATTTTGTAGTAGAAATTGACCGTCCGGATGCGGAACGCGAATTTCCGGATTAATGAAACAGAATAACGTGGAAAAAATCGGTTCCAAAAAATATCGTCCGGAAGGTGAAGCGTCCGGATAAATGGCGTCCGGATAAACGCGGCGCCACTGTATTACCGTACGTACATATTTATACATGTATTACCGAGTGTCTAGATGATGCGATACTGTACATTTAATATAAAAAAAAAAATACATGTATAACGTATGAAAATATGTCTAAATTATGACTGCTTGGTGAATTCTTAAACTTTAAGACTGTAAATGTTTTCAATTTGCAAGAGAGAGAAAAATCAACTAATTCAATTTATTCCAAGCTTGAAAATTCAATCTCCTTTCTTAAAATGATCACGAATGTAATCTCTTCGACATCGTGACATAGGACACAAATATAAAGTTGCCCTGATTAGCGATCATAATATCTCATTTTGCTCTGAAATATTGCATAAAGATGTTCATCAAATTAAATAGTTATTTTAAAGATAGTTAACTCCTATAATGTTGAAGGCATTTCTCACTGTGATATTCTTTTTTCTTTTCAATTTTCTTTTCGTTGTTTCTCTACAATATTACTGCCTATAGAGATTCAATTAAATTATCAAATAAGGTTTTCTGATATCTCTCTGAATTCGAATAATATTTGTGGTCATTATTCAATGTTGGAGTTCGGTGACAGTGTCCAAGAGGAAAGACCCAATTACAGACAGGATATTATTTTCGATCAACATTTTTATCCATCTAATAAAAATAAATCCCAGGATGCAAAGGAGATGCATGCCTAAAAATGATTGAGTGTGGGTTGGTACTTTTGTATCAAAATGGATTAGTTCTGCGGATCAAATTTATAATATTAAAATCACTAAAAACAAAATTTTTCCGATTGATTTCTCTTGTAACTAGGGATTTCTTTGACTTCCACGATTTTTATGAATCTGAACTCAAATCGGAACGATGAACATTTTATAGATAATCATTGAGATTTTTCGTTATCACCGGCGTGAAAAGATAAGAACCTGAGAGAGAGCAAAAGCCAGCTGAATCGATTTCATTTTTAAGGTTGTATAGTATATTTTAAATGTCAAACCACAGCGATAAGATTTGACGTATATGTCTAACATCCCAAAGTAACCTAGAACACGTTTGAAAGAGATGCATCTTCTCTTGATGTAAACTAATCGAGTGTTCTATGGTTTTGTTAGACATTAACTATACTTATCACCCGTAAATAATGGTTGTAAACGTCAATCGTGTTGTAATATATTCTAACATGTATTTCCGACCACATTTATTTTACATAAATAACAAATTTCCAGGAAAAGTTCTTTTTTATTGCTGTCGATTATTGCTTGCACGATGGAAATGGTTCCTTATTTTCACGTAAAAGTGATTGGTGATGTCATTTCGAATTTTGTATGCAAGACAGATTGAACACGAAGATAGAATCTTCGTTGCTGAAAGAAAAATCAACAGGGCTTTATTGGACAGATAAGCACTTAAGAAACCAAGTATTCCTTTGAACGGAAATAAATGGTAAGCGTTAAAAAGAGTTCAACTACTTCTTTGCATGCATATAAAGTAGCCCAGTAAACATGCAAAACAAAGTCTTATGTCGAATTACTCTTTCCCCCTGGCTTTTGTGTACAAATTATGTGTTCTCGAAAGACTCATCATCCAAATTAAATATCTAAACTTAGCAAATTCTTGCTAGTTTGTTTTGAACACTGTCACACAGTTAATATATTGAGAATGATAAATAGCATGGAAGTAATTTATACAGAAATCTACAACGCAAAGTTCTCTGTCAAGGATGGAATCAACTTTCATGACAGTGCTATGATGGTTGCAGTGACCCCTCTGTATTGACCTGCGAATACTTATATACATGTACGTATACAGTATAACAAAGCTACCGTAGTCATAAACAAAATAAAGTTATTATTAGTTCCATGTACATTACTTGTTTACAAAAAAGTTGTATCACAGGAAATCATATTATACAACAGTTACTGTATTTTTCCTCACATTTGGTAAATAGCTGTTCGATATATTGCCCTGGCTTTGGGTTCTGACATTTGTCTAATTTTTTTTTTAATTTAGATAACGGATGTATTATGTTGAGGTGTCAGTCATTTCTACAGAACTCCTCCGGTGTTTGTTATCAAAATAATCATAATACAATATATTTTCACCCACATGACCCTAATCACATTTTGATTCTTTGTTGTCTTGAATGTCTTCTCAAAAATATGAATAAAAGTTTAATTCCAGATCATAAGTTTTCAGAAATAGACATTTTTCATTGATTTCCTATGTAAAATCCCAAGGTGTCTGGTTTTCCAGCCATAATTTCAATGTCTTGTATCTCAAAATATGCTCACATGGCACTTTCTTTTCTCCTTGTTAAAATACAAGTTATATCAGCAGACTGAATACATCCTTAAAAGCTTCTATTTACAGATTGTTTTTAAGAAGTATCATGCAGAGCTACATGTACCTACATCATAAAATTGAAAATCGTAAGGAGGGGGATCCAGGGGCTGCCTTGATCCCCGAGCGCTGATTTACCCCCCCCCCCCCCGTCCCAATTTTGTTTACTTTAAAATGATTCAGATCGCAAACTAGCATAGAAACAATGACAGTATAAGAAAGGGAAAGGGCTACGACTTAAAATCATAATGGGGAAAACTGAAGGTGTACAGATATTAAAAAAAAAAGTCAGGTGTTTCAAACTATTTACGGAGATTGATTGATTGATTGTATATTGTTTTACGTCCCATTCGAGAATTTTTCACTCATATAGAGATGTCACCATATACCGGTGAAGGGCTTCAAATTTTGACCTTTACTCGGCACTCAGGGCCATTGAGCAGTGAGGGATCTTTATCGTGCCAACGCCTGCCGTGACACGGGGCCTCGGTTTTTAAGGTCTCATCCGAAGGACCCACAACTTTCACTTCAGAGTGCCGAGCGCATGGCGAAGGAACAGTTGCTACCTAATTTTTATCGACTTAGGTCTGTCGCGGCCGAGATTCGAACTCACCACCTCCCGATCACGGAGCGAGCGCTCTACCGACTGAGCTACCGTGAACGGTTTATTTACGGAGTAAAACAAGTAGAGAAATCGTAAGGCGAATTTTGACGCTCGAACCGTAAG